TCTCTGAAAATCTTATGTCCATTTTAAAATGTGCATTTGAATGTATGAATAATTCTTTTGCTAGGCTTTTTAAAATTACTTTAATAGTGGTATTTCCCTTTGGTCCCTATTATGAGTCAAAAAGTACAGAATATAAAACAATGGAAGAAAGATTAAAAAAACATGGTAGGGCTGGGGATGTGGCTCAAGCGGGAACACGCTCCCCTGGCATGAGCAGGGCGCTGGGTTCGATCCTCAGCACCACATTAAAAAAAAAAAAAAGATGTTGTGTCCACGAAAAACTGAAAAATAAATATTAAAAAATTCTCTCTTCTCTCTCTCTCTCTTAAAAAAAACATGATAGAGAAACAGACTGGAAAGTTCTATTTAGTCTAAAGAAAAACAAAATAAACTTCATTAATAATTAGTTTTGAGAGCACAGAATTTTTTCTCAATGTATAGTACTGACTGGCCTGTCATAAGAAAAATATTAACTGTACCATTCTGGACTGAAATTGATTTGTAAGTGTGCATCTGTACTTAAATCTGATAGTGTTTATGAAGTTAACAATACTAGTATAAAATTAATCATTTTGGTTTTTTGGTATCCCTGAACGAATCAGACCTGGAGCTGAAGAGTTTGTAATAAAACATAGAAATTAGGATAAAGACATCTGAATAGCAGATCTTGGTTCAATGATTAGGAAAAAAATGTTCTAAAAATCAGAATTTCTGAAAATTGGAAGGGACTGTTTTTCTAAGCCTGTTAATTTCAGTCATTGGAAACATTAAAACAGAGGTTGGATTCAGGGCTATTCTAACCTATAGGAAACTTTGGGTAAATTAGGAGAAGGTATCCTGTCTGGCAGACTTAAAGCTGGTCTTTCTGTATGGGTCCACCCTGGCTTAGTGAATAGAGTGGCTTTCAGTTTCCACTTACCCTGTTAGATGAGAGCATTTTGTACTGTCCTCTTATTAGGTGTGCCACAGATCAAGGTGCTGAAGTAATAGATATGAATTAAAAATTGATGCCATCCAAGGTTTATTAACCTTTATTTCCAAGTAACTTGGATATAAATCAATGCTCTAAATGTTCCAGTCTCTGCACAGGTAAAGCATTGTGCTAAAATCAGAAGAATGTTAATCTGTTTTTTTGGTGGGGAGGTACCAGGAATTGAACTCAGGGGCACTTGACCACTGAGCCACAGTCCTATTTTGTATTTTAATTACATACTGGGTCTCACTGAGTTGCTCAGTGCCTCACTTTTGCTGAGGCTGGCTTTGAACTTGCAATCCTCCTGACTCAGCCTTCTGAGCCACTAGAATTATAAACATGTGCCACTGTGCCAGGTAAGAATTTTAATCTTTATCTGTGGCTCTCAAAACCATTAAATGTCATCCAATTTATAATTTGCACAAATTTTCTGTAAAGACTCTTAACTCACTCAGGCCTGGCCTGATCCCTTACACTTCACAATTGCTCCAGGAGCTCTCACGGGCCAATTCCCCAAAACTCTGTAGCTCCAATTCAGGAGATTTTCTATCTCTCTTGTGCTTCTTCCCTCTTTTCTGCTCTTCCCTCTCTCCAGATTCTATAAGATAAGGAGACAGACCCCAGTTGAAAGAACTTTCTTCAGACTAGGAAAGAACAGGGAGAAGTTAAGCCACCAAAGATAAAGTCTCTCTCTACTTCCCCCACTACTGTTTCTAATTCTTGTTCTTTCTCCACCTATTTTCCTGATAGCTTAACAGCACAGCCTGGAAATCAGACTGAGACAGACTGAGTGATTCTCGGGTATTTCAGCAGTAGAAACGTTGTATATTCATACTTACTGAGTAGATCCTAGGTTGTAGCTCCTTCTAGTAGATCCTAAGAGACAAAGCAAAGTATGTGACTAATCCCTACTCATAAGAATTTACAATCTTATGAGCCAGACTGAATAAAATCACATGAAATAGATTTAAAGGAAGAAAACCAATGAATTGTGAAAATGTCTACAGCACTACACTCTGAATAGCCTGAGATTCTATAATCAACCTGAATGTTGATTATACAGCATGGGTAGAACTCTGGGGAACCTGGGAAAGTTTCATGGAAGAGGTAAATATTGAATAAACATTTAGAAAATGTAAAAGACCATGTAACTAGGGAAATTAGTATATAGACTGAAGAGTTAAGGTAATGTGCTACAGAGTGACTCTATTTACCTGTTGGAATGAAGGGTCAAGGCAGAATGAAAAATCCCCCTCCCTTTTTACTTTCTCATGGGGAATGCTAGTCTTTCTCTTCTGAGTTTCCCTACCATTCATTATGTGACTTAATTATCACTTTATCCCATTCTGCCTTGAGTTAGTCATTCATTTTCCTGTTTTCTTCATTAAATGAGAGCTCATCAAATACAGAAACAATATCTCCTCTCTGTCCCCCTCTATAGCTCTTCACACAGAGGCTAGCAAATCATGATTGGTTCCAAAAACCAAAAACCAAAACAAAACAAAAAAACTCCAGAACATGCCCTGTTAAGTAGGATTGATCAGAAACTTGCCAGTGGGTAAGGGAACAGAGAAGGGTCACTTGACTTTTGCTAATGGGTTTGATTTTGAAGATAACAGAAATTAAAATGATGTTTTCAGAACTTTTCCATTGGTCCATGGGTGAAGTGGAAGACAGTAAGTCCGTCTTTTTGTGTAGGTGTTATCCTGGACATTTAGGGAGGTGTGCCCCCTACAGATGGTACATAATTTTGAAATTTAAACTGCCTCAAGTCACAAAAACTTCTTAATAATATATTTAGCCTTTTTGAATTGTATAGGTCAGACAAATCATTTATTTCATGTGCATGAAGAAATTCCTTCATAAGATTTTCTTTATTCGGTATTGCTGATTCTAAGTAGAAATGATACCATATTCTGGAGTGAGATTTGGGCATGTTTTAAATAATGCATCTACATATGGAATTGGAGAAAGATCTGGAGCTGGAATTCTAGACTTGAACTTTAGAAAAAGATTTTTAGGAATGATTTATTCTATTTTTTTTAGGAATTTTTTAATTGAGAGACTTCAGAACTATTTTATTACACTAATTTCTCCTCTCTCCCAGTCTTGAAATGTTTTAGAACAGTCACTAACCCTGATGTGATCTAGAGTACATCTGCACAGATTCACCTTCAATTCTGGAAATACTTTTCATGTGTACTCTTTTTTTCTCTTTTTGGTATCAGGGATTGAACTCAGCGGCACTCAACTGAGCCACATCCCCAGCCCTATTTTGTATTTTATTTAGAGACAGGGTCTCCCTGAGTTGCTTAGCACCTTGCTTTTGCTGAGGTTGGCTTTGAACTTGTGATCCTCCTGCCTCAGCCTCCTGAGCTGCTGGGATTACAGGCGTGCGCCATCATGCCCAGCTTCATGTGAACTCTTTGTTATAAAGACTTAACTCAAATGTTAAAGTGATTGAAATTCTATAAATAGTGAAAATAAGAACTGTCCACTGGTCATTTCCGTCAAGCTTCCAATTATTTTTCTCATTTCGTAGCACAGATTTGAATTTATGACCCAGGTATTTTTTGGAAAAAAAAATCTTCAGTGTTCATTTTGGTTATGAAAATCTTATAATTAGTACATATATAGCTCCTAAACCTCTTTTTGTATATACTGAATGGATATAAAGTTAAAGATAGCATTTGTAAAGGAAAAGCAATATTGCCTCCCTATTAAAGAGTAGATTTACTTTTATCTGGTGAGTCCACTCTTTATGCCAAGAGAATAGGGTTAGAATGCTACAACTTAGTCATTAAATGAGGCTCACTATAGTCCTCAAACCCGAACTATGGAATAGTTTGAAAATCTAATGTAATATAAATAATTAGAAAAATACAAATCAAATTCTTCTGCAGATGGAAATAAAATTTCTCTCTCCCCCCTCCCTCTCTCTCTCTCTCTCTCTCTCTCTACATTTAGAATTCATTGAATTGGGAAAAAAGTATTATTGCACAAGATACAAAGCAAGAGGTGTCATCTTTTAGAAGGCTGAGAAAGTAGCTCTTCATATTCATTTTAAAAACAATGGGGAGAGGTTCTGCAGGGATCCTTAGAAGTAGCCAACAAATCCAAGTACTTTGTTATTCTAAAAGCTTCCAGAAATCAGATTTGTATTCTCTGGACAAATGGGCATTAAAAGGCACTGCAGCAAACTGTATATATGGTATTCTTTATCTTGGCTTCACAATTTTAGCTAGTATATTGGCTTTTCGGTTTAATTCCAATGACACAACTCATAAATGCAGGCTTTTTTTTTCCTCCCCTGGGGGCTGAGGGAAGCCATCATAAAATAAAAAGCTTTGACAGTCTGTCTGTTGTATTATAAAGTGTAACGACCCCCACACCCAAAGTTATGTGAACACAGGGAAATACTGCACACAAAAAAAGTTAGGGACACTTCAAACAATAGTATAAACACCATGTTATTCCTCAATAAATTTCACTTACAATGCATAAGTGTGTGAATTATAGGACTTAGAGAAACTGTCAGAGGAAACTGAAGGAACAGCTTCAGAGACAGGGAAGAACTCAAGCCACGATTATTTGTTCACCGTTAACTTATTTTCTAAGCCCATGAGATGAAATTTCAGTTGTTCATGAGAACTAGCCAGTCTTTTCCCAGGCTGTGCAGTGACTAAATGTGTCTGTATGAATGAAAACCTCACCTACCAGGGAATCAAACATGCTAAGGACCTTTAGAGGGCCCTGTCACATTTCTGAATTTTGTGGAACTGGCAATCATAGGATATGTTGAAAATATGTACCTCCCACCAAAGTATGGGGGATTCTCTGAATGTAACTTGCACAACACCCTTCTGGTAGATTTATGATTTTGCGTAGCTTAAAGGGAGAAACTGGAAGAGCAGGATGTTTTCTGGTTTCATTAGCATAGCCCAGCCTACTTCCAACACACGCCCAGAACTACCTCATTAACCATTGGGATTGCAGCCAAACACATAAGACTACAGTGAATATAAAGGGAATTACTGGCAAGAGAGCTGTAGACTAACTTACCACCGAACCCATTACTTTTCCAAGATCAGAAATATATTACACTAACAGGAACCACTCCTCATTCAGATAAGAATTCAAGGTTTTCATCTACAGTTTTTATCTACAGTAATTAGCTGCATCATAATAAGACAGATAGCTCAGCTGCATCTATTTAAGTGCTTTTAATCTTCCTCTCCCCTCCCTCTCTCCCTCTCCCCCCCCCCCCTTTCCCTTTCCTTCTCCCTCCCTCTCTCTTATTTATTTTCTGGGTAGCTTTGACATTGTAAACCACAGACGAATTGGAGCCTGGCATTGAAAAGAGGTGTTCTGCAACTTTTTTTTTCCCCCTTGTCTAAAGAAGTTGACTTCTACAACAGGGGATCTGAAAAATGACAGGGGCGAAGAGGAAAAAGAAAAGCATGTTCTGGAGCAAGATGCATTCCCCCCATTATGAGGACATTAAACAGTGGTGCAGAAGGCGGCTACCTATTTTGGAATGGGCACCACATTACAATCTGAAAGAAAACCTGCTTCCAGACACTGTGTCTGGGATAATGTTGGCAGTTCAACAGGTGACACAAGGTAATGTACTGCATTTGGTTTTCCTGTTTTCTGCAGAGTGGATGTCGCTTTGCTTCTTGGAAGGTGTTATGAATGAACTGGGCTGGACAATTTAGATAACAAAATGAATATTTAATGAAACTGTTATTAACTTTGGGAAGCAGTGTGGATATCTTTGTGTAAGAGTTTTCCTAATTGTCCTTTAGTTTTTGTGCTATCTTTTGCTAACAATTACGTACTGACCCAATTTTTGAATGGCATTACACAGTTATGATGTTAAATTTCATACAATGTTAGAGTAAAAGATCAGTTATTATGGGAAAGTGCACTTTTAAAACTTGATTTTGCAGATATAATTTCTTGCCTTCACTGAAACAAGCTATAAAATATATCCTGATTAGAATACAATTGTCTTTCAACCTAATTAGTAGTACACAATTACCTGTTGTTGACTTGAGAGCTGTTATAAGCAAGGAACAGAGCTGTCTGCACAAAAGGAGGCTCTTTGCCAAGATCATTATTTGCAAAGAGAATACTGTATGTCCTTAGAGCTTATGTTTTATTCTGATTTATTTTTGTATCCCATTACCTACTGCATCTATATCTCAATAAGAAATTTAAACTGGTGAGAAGTATGATTTTAACTGCCCCAAAGCAGATTCTAAATGATATTCTGGATTTAGATAGGTGTTTGTATCCATGAAAGCTAGTTAACTAGTATGCACACACACATACACACACACGTGTGTGTGTGTGTGTGTGTGTGTGTTTTCCCTAAAGGTACATCAATCACAGTTTTTGGCTAACTCAGGTAGTAATTTTCTACCTGTAGCAAGTAAAGAAATGGCTTTCTCAGCCTTGAGAATTTGGAACAGTTTTCTTGGCATAGACTCTGTAGGTTTATATTTCCTTGCTATTCCACTACCTCCCTGGCTCTAACTGTTATTTATATTGTTAAATTATAAGCACTCTTTTAATTAAATTATTCTGTAGCTGGAACAAACTGGTTTGTGTATTTGTGTTTTTAGTATGATTAGGAACATCTGCACTGGTGGCTTTACTTTAAGATCCATAACACTATCATACTTTATGGGATTCCATTTCATTACATAGGCTTGTGTTACATTTTTAATAACCATTTTGCCAATAGCAAAGCATAGTAATCTTTTAGAAAAATGCAAAGGCAAACAACAGGATAGGGTATTTTCAGCCTTGCTTTTATTCAATTTAAAATTCAAAATGAAACACTACCACCATGGACTTTGAAAACTTAGGTGATGAACTAAAAAAGGGCTTTTTCATCAGATAGTTTCAGTATATGTTATAAACTTATCTTGATTTAATGCAAAATGAAAGAGAATTATGTTTTTACTAATAATTTGTCTTTCATGTTTGGGAAATATCAGATTAATTAGAGAATTTTGAGATATGATTAAGTTGTTTGATGCAAATCCTAAATGCTGAGGTTTGTTTGTAAGTCTTTAGTAGTCAATTGTATGGCTTTTATTTGGGTATAGACTTTGAGGGATTTTATTTTACGAGTCATATATTTCATTGAGTATGAAGAAACACATTGGTTAGTCCCCAACAGATGAATAGCACAAAACCTACTCTGCTCTTGTGCCATGGGAAAGTACAGATCTGGCTGCTGGTTCTCTTGGAAGTTTACCAGTGAAGGGACAAGTCACACTGCTAAGAAGAATTTAAAGGTTTTTGCTGGCATACGAAAAGATTAATCCTTCTAAACGTACCTATTCTTTTAAATACAATTTTCTCTCGAATTTTTGCATGGTCATCTACAATGGACAGTTAAAAAACAAAATATCATAAAGCTATCATTTGTTTTAAGTGGCACTGTGCTGTCCTCTCATGTACATCACCACTCTCATTCTCAGTGACAACAGTCTTCTCTCCATTTTACATATGAGGGAATGTAGGTTTAGAAGAGTAAGGAATTTTCCTTGGACTTCATACCTGATAAGTGGTAGAGTCAGGATATGATTCCAAAGCTAACACTCTTAACATTTCACTTTGTATTCTACACTGCCAAAACAACCAGACTTTTTATAATATCAATGTTATTAGTAACAGGAGACTTTTTGGAAAGGTATGAATATCCTTCCCTTCAAATTACTGTTACATTCAGTTTTCATCCCTGTAGTTTTTAGACCCCAAAGGCAAAATGACAAGAAAAATAACTACAGTAGGATACAGAGAAAGGAAGGAATTTAGATATCATCTCCTATTTGTGTTAATATGATACTGGCAATTATTATCAGCTTCATTTCTTTAGGAAAATCAGAAGAGGTAGTTTTAGTCCCTGCATCATAATGGAAACAAAAAACAAATATTCTTTTACAGAATTTCAAAGCAGATTTTTATTGACTCAGCATAGTAGAATTATATGAAATTTTTGAATTTAGTTTTTCATTATAAATATGGAAAGTTTATGATTCCATCTAATTATTGTTTTTCATTTTGCTATCTCTAGAAATGAATTTAAAGTTAAGAAGTATAGTGGAAACTAGCATTTGAGTGTTTTCTATAGGTCAATGACAAGAAGTCATTTTTGAATTACTTTATTAAAGATTTCCTAATTGTGGAATAAAGGTGCTTTTCAGTTATCAGTATACCCGACTCCTTTATAATATTTTCTGTATTTGCTGTACTCTTTCTAGACTCCTTTATTCTCTTGGTTTCAAGAGACTAATCTTTCATTTTTCCTCACTACTTGTTTGGATTTCTCTTCTAAAGTGCCTCTACAAATTTTGCTCTTTCCATTCTACTCTTTCGATTCAATACCAGTGTCTTAGAGACTCAAACCCTGACCTTCTTCTCAAAAACCACCTCAGATGATCTGCATAAAAGACTCTCACTGTTATTACCATACTAGGATCTCAATCTGAGATCCACATCTACTATGCAAACCTAGAGTGTTCTAAAAGCACATCAGTTGCAACATTTAGTATTCTAAAATAAATGGAATGATACTGCTATCCTAACCAAATTTATAATAGTTAATAATGAAATGAAAAATGATAAATGTAAGTACTGTTTTAAAAGCACTTGATGTGTGTGTGTGTGTGTGTGTGTGTGTGAAAAATATATATCCATAGAAGATAAATAACTTGCCTAAAGTCACACAGCAAATGGAAAGAAGTCACATTTGGACTCAGGTCATCTGTCTTCAGAATTATGCTCATAGTTTTTGCTAGACTTTCTCTTGTAGAAAGTCCTGTGAGTCATTCTCAATTCTTCCCTCCTTTTTTGCCACCCTGGGCCACTAGCATACAAGCAGACACAAAGTTCTTTCATTTCTATCCTTTAAGTATCTTTTCCACCAGTTTGCCTTGGTTCATGCCTCTGCTGCTGCCCTGATACATCCTTTGAGTCTTCATTCTCTGTTCTGTCTCCACCTGAAGACAGCATTCCATACTGCAGCCAGAATTCTTTAAGATTTGAACATACTGCTTCCCTGTTCAGAATTCTTAAATAGCCCTCTATTTCCTCTCAGATAAAAGCCCAGTTCTTCAGCATATCCTCTCAGATGCTGAACAATCTGAGCCTCTTTATATAAAGCTCTGCTCAAAGAGATCTCTCCTCTGAAAACCCCTCTCCAGCTCCTAGGAAGACTCATGTTTTCTTTCCTTCTATGCTCTTTGTACTTTTGACATATCTCTATCATAGTCTTTATTTAACACATTGTATTATATATTTTTGGTGCAACTCTTTCTAGACTGGTCTGCAAATACTGTAAACCAAGACAATGCCTTCACCTTTATATTCTTACCAACTTGTATTGCCCAGCACAAAGAAGTAGGTTTTCAATAAACATTGGAAGAGCTAAGCCTTTCCTTAGCTTAATCCACTGAGTGTTCTATTGTACAGGGTGCTGCGATAGGAAGGAAGGTGAATTTAAATTAATTCTTTTTTTAAAAAAATATTTATTTTTTAGCTGTAGTTGGACACAATACCTTTATTTTATTTATTTATTTTTAATGTGGTGCTGAGGATCGAACCCAGGGCCTCGCTCTTGCTAGGTGAACACTCTACCGCTGAGCCACAACCCCAGCCCTAAATTAATTCTTATGTTTTAAAAATAACTGTCCTAAGGATACCTATAGTGAAAAATATACATTAAATTATGAGTATTTGGTTTCTTCCAATTTCTCTTACTTTCTTGAAGTCATACACTTGTAGCTCTCTAGACAAATCTGGTAAAAGGTACATCTTCTTTTTTCCAAATAATGTTAATCTTTTTTCTTCAGCCAACATTGACAAATAGGATATTTTATGTAAAAACCCAAATACTTTGCTTCTCTTGAAAAAGAGAAAGACATGGCTGTACAGGGCCCCCATTCCCGTGTGGCAGAAATCTGTTGATCTCCTTAGAGGCTTCCTGCTTTAGGCAGGGCACGCACTGTACATTCTGCCACAGTCCCCACCCCTCCCTTGTCTACTGCCACTTTCTTGTTAGTGTTCCCATTACAAGTTTAACCTCAGCTAATGTGTTTATTGATATGCTTTGAACTCACTTAAATAAAACATTTATGGAGAGATTATATATGACTATATTCTTAAACTGGATCAGCAGAATCTTCAGTTCTATGAACTTGGACTAATGTATTATTTCAATATTCATAATTTCTCCATAATCCTATGAATTTTTTATTACCTGTTTTTAAAAACAGTATTCTTGGGAAGGGGTCAATAGGACTTTACCAGACTTCCAGAATTGTGATTGTCCCTCCCCAAAGTAAATAAATGCAGAAAGAAGTATGAAAGAAACCTTAGGCTCATGTGGGAGATAATAGAAATCATTTTCTTTAAAAAAATATTTTAAACACTGAAGAGCCTTCATTACCATCACCAGGTAAGAACCACTCTCTATAGGTACCTTCTGCCAAAATGCTCTTTAGCTGATGTCTTGAAGGTCCTCACTACTGAATGTATTTTGAAGATCAGCCAAAATTTATAGAGAATGTCATCCACACAAGATATGTTACCAACATGGTTGGCAA